CGTCCTTTCCTCTGCACCCTGGGTGGTTGAATGGCACGCGAGCAGACAAGAGCGAACCGTCTTAAAACGATTGTTGGTGCGTTGAATGAGATTGGTGATGATGATGATGGGTGGTGGTGGTGATGATGATGATGATGCTGATGATGGTGATGATGTTGATGATACTGATTCTGATGATGATGATACTCATGATGCTGCTGATGATGATGATGATGATGATGATGATGCTGATGCTGATGCTGATGCTGATGCTGATGATGATGTTGATGATGATACTGATGTTGATGATGATGAAGACCATGCTGATGATGTTGCTGCTGCTGCTGCTGCTGCTGATGATGATGATGATGATGATGATGATGATGATGATGATGCTGATGATGATGATGATGATGATGATGATGATGATGGTGGTGGTGGTGGTGGTGGTGGTGATGATGATGGTGATGATGAGGATGATGATGAGGAGGATAATGAGGATGAGGACGAGGAGGGAGAGGAGGAGGAGGAGGAGGAAGAGGAGGAGGAGGAGGAGGAGCAGGAGATGCGTTCTTGCTGAGATCCAGCCAGGGCAGCCCGAACTCCTTGCGCTTGCGCATCGACCTAGTTCGCGCCAGGGTGGTCTCCCTTTGACGTGACCTTTGTCCTGCTCTGTCCAGGTGGTGACGCTACTCCAGAAGATGCAGGTTGCTGTAACGGCCGAGGGCGAGAAGGAGAAGGACCTTTTGGACTTCCAACCTCTTTGCCTCCTCTCCCCTCTCTCTGGCCCTCTGGATGCTCTCTCTGGGGCGGAGGAGGAGGAGAGGAGGAGGAGGAGGGAGGAGGAGGGAGGAGGAGGAGGAGGAGGCGGAGGAGGAGGAGGAGGAGGAGGGGAGGAGGAGGAGGAGGAGGAGGTGGAGGAGGAGGAGGAGGAGGAGGAGGAGGAGGAGGAGGAGGAATAGGGGGGGGGTTGCTCAGGAGGAGGAGGCGGAGGAGGAGGAGGAGGAGGCGGAGGAGGAGGAGGAGGAGGAGGAGGAGGAGGAGGGAGGAGGAGCCTGGACCTGGATGGCTCTGTGGCCATCCTGACGAAGTGCTGGAAGCGGAGAGCCCCCACCACGCTTCCGAGGCCTGCGGAAAGGAAGGCATGCGCCGCACCCCTCTCAGACCCGCAGGCTGTGGCGGGCACCCGCACGCTGGGGTGGGGACCCGCACAGGGCGGAGGACGCTCCGCTCGGTGCCTGCAGCTCGGTGGCGGGTCACCGCCCAACGTCAGCGTCAGCATGCGGTCTGCGGCCGCCCTGCCTTGGCGGCCGAAGTGCTGAGCACCGGCGCCACCGCCGGCACCAGCCCTGGGGCCGAGCTCCGAAGCCTTCGCCCTGCCTCCTCCAGGGGCGCCCTCGAGGGCGCGAAGTGATTTGCGCTTCGCGCTTCGTGCTTCGGCTGCGATTCCTCATCCTCCTCGTCTTCCCTGGGAGGCGCCCTCGAAGGCGCGAAGTTTTTCGCGCTTCGCGCTTCGGCTCCGATTCCTCCTCCTCCTCCTCCTCCTCCTCCTCTTCTCCCCTGGCTGGCGGCGAGAGAGCGAGAAGTTGCTCGCGCTCTCGCGCTTCGCGCAGGCGCGAGAGCGCGAAGGTAGGCGCCCTTCCTCTCTGCTCGCCGGCAGGGGGGAGGAGGGCGGCCACCCAAGAAGGCCGGAGGGGGGGGGCTTGTGAGCAGCGCTCCCCTCCCTCCGAGCGTCGGCGGGCAAAGAGCGGCAGAGGACAACGCTTCTCCGCCGTCGGGGACGCCTGTCCCGGGGCGGCTCGAGAGCCCACACCCCTACGGTGGCACTGTCGGCGTGTGTGAGCTTTCCTGAAAGGGGCCCCAGGACACACAAATAAATACACAAATACAAGGATTCCCCACATTTTCCCATATTTTCTGGGCTTCTGTCTTCCCCCCCACCCCCCATATTTTCCCACATGTTCCTGGGAGTCGACGATTCATTGTGTCTCTGTGTTTCTTTCCCTCCTGACTTCCAGCCGCTCCAGGACAGGCGCCCCCGGCGCCCGGCGAGCCTGCTTCCTGCCGTGCCTCGCCCGCCAGGAGGAGCTCTCCCGGGAGCCTCCGGTCCCCCCCGAGAGGCGCCCTGTCCTCCCTGCTGCCCCCTCGCTCCGCCCCCCTGTGCCCCCTCGCGGCGCCCCCGCGTGTCCGGCCAGCCGAGAGGGGGGGTACAATACAGCAGCTTTTTGTTGGCCCTCGGGGGCGCCTCCAAGACAAGCCATTTCAGACCTCCCCCGTGGGAGAACCTTCCAAAACATCGTCCCCAGACCCCCCAGGCCCTCCAAGACAGCCTGGAAGAGACCCCCCCCCGAAATGAGACCCCCCTCCCTTTATTACGAAATCTGGAGTACAATACAGTAGCTTTTTGTTGGCCGCTCGGGGGCGCCTGTCCCGGGGCGGCTGGGCAAGTTGTGGTGCTTCCGCTCTTCGTCCGTCAGCCTGCTCGCGTCAGCAACGTATCCTGCCCCGGCCCATGTCTCAGCCGATCGGTCCCGCTCGACGTCGGGTCCGACCGGCTCGATCCGACCTGGTTCTGATACCAGCAAGTCCGATGCAGCCCGCTGTGTTTGCCGGGCACCGTAGATTTCTGTGCATCGTGGCGCAGCCGGCCCGATCTGATGTCGACGCCGTGCCGGCGGGGCCCGCTCCGACACGCGTGCCGGCCCGAGCCGATGATCCCGACGCGAGGCGGACCGATCCTGCCCAGATGCGGGGTGTTGCCAGAGCTGCCTGTGGCCCAAGGTGCACCCAGGATGTCCGAAGAGGCTCCCTGCGGCCTTCAGAGGACCCCCCACGAGGCCCAAAGGGCTCCTGGTGATGGGTCGATTCGGATGATGATGATGATGATGCTGCTGCTGCTGCTGATGATGATGATGATGATGATGGTGGTGGTGGTGGTGATGATGATGATGATGCTGATGAGGTTGATGATTATGTTGATGATGATGATGGTGGTGATGATGATGATGATGGTGGTGGTGATGATGATGCTGTTGCTGCTGCTGCTGCTGATGATGATGATGATGATGATGATGATGATGCTGATGGTGAGGATGATGGTGGTGATGAGGATGAGGATGAGGATGAGGATGAGGATGAGGATGAGGATGAGGATGAGGATGATGATGATGATGATGATGATGATGATGATGATGATGATGATGATGATGATGATGATGATGATGATGATGATGATGATGATGATGATGATGATGATGATGATGATGATGATGAGGAGGAGGAGGAGGAGGAGGAGGAGGAGGAGGAGGAGGAGGAGAAGAAGGGAGAGAAGGATGAGGACGAGGAGGAGGAGGAGGAGGCGGAGGAGGAGGAGGAGGAGGAGAACCTCCCCATCTTCCCTTCTCCCCTATCCTGCCCATCACCAGGGGCTCCAAAATTGAGCGACAAGCCAGGGGCACCTTGGGCCAGGGGCATCTCTAGCAAGCTCCGACGCTGCGGCCTCGCGTGCCCTACCAGGAGCTCTTCGACAAGTTCATGTGCTACTGCAAGGCTCCCTCCGCGCCCCGGCAGCGCCCGTGCTGACTGCAACTGCAAGGCTCCCTCCGCGCCCCGGCAGCGCCCGTGCGGCTCCGCGGCGGCGGACGCGAGACTGCAAGGCTCACGTCAGCGGCAGCGACCAGGGGGGGGGGTCGGCGTCTCCCCAACATGCTCAGACGAGGTTTGCGCCGCCCGCGGGGCGGGCGACGCGCGCGCGCGCGCCGAGAAATCCTTGGTGTGTGCCGCGCGGGGGCGCTTTCTGGCCGCACCGCTCGGGAGACGCCACACTGCAAGATGGTAGGGGGCCACATGCGAACCCTACCCCTACCCCCTACGATTTCTGAGGGGGAGGGTGGGGTTCACTTCGTTCGGGAGCTCCCGAGCGAAGTGAACCCCCCCCTCCCCCTCAGAAATAGTGGGGGGTAGGGATAGGGTTCGCATGTGGCCTCCTAGATGGCTGCACCACGAGTCCGGACCGGACGCAGGCAGGCCTCCGAGGAGGACGCACAGCACTGGGAGGCCCCTGTGCGCCCCAGCCCAGGGCCAAGGCCGATCGGGGCCTGTGCGCCCCACCCCTCTCGTCCTCGTCCTCCTGCTCCTGCTTCTCCTTCTCCTTCTCCTTCTCCTCCCCTTCCTTCCCTTCTCTCCTCCTCCCCTCCCTCCTCCTCCCTCTCTCCTCCTCCCCTCCTCCTCCCCTTCCTTCTCTCCCTCCTCTCTCTCCTCCTCCTCCTCCTCCTCCTCCTCCTCCCTCCTCCTCTCCTCTCCTCCTCTCCCCCCTCCTCCTCCTCCTCTCCTCCTCCTCCTCCTCCCTCCTCTCTCCTCCCCTTCCTCCTCCTCCTCCTCCTCCCTCCCCCTCCTCCTCTCCTCCTCCTCCTTCTCCTCCTCCTCCTCCTCCTCCTCCTCCTCCTCCCCCTTCCTGCTCCTCGGGAACGTGCGAACTTCGCCGCCGAGGGCCCATCGCCGAGCACCGCCGATTCCAAGTCAGTGTTCCCCCCCATGAGCCAGCCCCCCCCCCCCGCTTGGCATCGCTCGGAGGTGTGCGTTGTTTCTCGGCGAGGACCATCGGACACCATCCTGGACCATTGAGCAGCAGAGACGCGCACGAAGCCGAACCGTGCACAGGAAAGGGACGTCCGAGCGACGGTAAGCCTGTCTCGGCGGCGAGCGAGGGGGGGAAGTGAGAAGGGGCGGGCCTTCTCAGAAGGCTCGGAAGTCCCGGGGCCTTCTTAGAAGCTTTCTAAGCCTTCCCCGAAGACAGCGCCCGAGAGTGGCGGCACAGCGCGCCAGAGTAATCCTGGCACTATCCAAATCCGAATCCCTCCTTGAGAACGCGCCAAAGTTCACCCCTTTGCAAACTGCTCGCTCCTCAGCGCCAGGGATGCGCTGGGATTGCCCGCGCGGGCGATATGTGCGGGGACATCATTGGGCTCGTCTGTGCGGGCGGCGCCACGACAATCGAGTGCGAGGACTGACGCCATAGCCAGGGCGTCAGCCCCTTCGACACCTGCGACGGGATCACGGTCGCACGCGTCGAGAGGTACAGCGTGATTTTCCACGTTGATCATCCGAAGAGGGAGGTGGAGCAGGGGCAAGATGAGATCAACCGTTGCTTGGGTACAGTAGTCGCGATGGAGCGTTCAGAAAACCATCGCCGACATGGAAATGGTTGGGTATGATCGCGTTCACTCAGACATCCCAGGCATCAGAGCCATTACGGTAACCGCGAAGCAGGGACTGTGCGAGATAACGCGCCTGATCATAGTTGCCAGGGGGGCTGGCAAGCAGGATGCCAGTCACTGAATCAAGGAGGCTGCGTCTCTGAAGGACAGGATGAGCACCGCGGAGAGATTGACCGACCAGCTCAACAATCTTAGGAACACGCGTGACACGTGCCAGACCTACTTGAAGACGTTCGCCACCAAGATCAAGTCCACTCGGCGCTTGTACCGTGAAGCAGAGAACTGCCTGACGGCGTGGAAGGCAGCGATTGCTGAGTCGGAAGAGTGAGAGGACTACATTGTTGGGGAGGAGGGCGCCAACATGTACGCGGGAGAGGCTGCAGGTCCTCAGCCGACGAAGTCACCGTCAGTGCCGCCACCGCCGCCAGCGTCGATGTCAGGAACAGCAGGGCCATTCGTGACGGCGTCTCCGAACATCCCAGGAATTGGCATCAGTCTGCCTCAGCACATGACGCGCCCGTTCCCCCCGCCGCCGCCGCGGCCTCAAACCGTGAACAACGACCGTGTCAAGGAGCCATCGGAAACGGTTCAGCATTTGTGCGCCCGTCAGAGTGCCCCTGATCCAAATGGGCACGGCCATCGCACGACCCAGTGCGCAGCCTACCGCGAGCGGAGCGTCGATGGACCTGGCGGCGAGCGGAGCAGCGCCAGTGCTGTGCGCGGCACCTACTCTCGCAGCACCGAAACGGAATATTAGTTTGGTTGTTATATATTTGTACATTTATGTATGTACGTATGTATGTATGTATGTATGTATGCATGTATGTACGTATGTACGTATGTACGTATGTACGTATGTACGTATGTACGTATGTACGTATGTACGTATGTACGCATGTACGCATGTACGTATGTACGTATGTACGTATGTACGTAAACACGTATGCACGTATGTACGTTTGTACGTATGTATGTATGTATGTATGCATGTATGTATGTATGCATGCATGTATGTATGTATGTATGTATGTATGTATGTATGTATGCATGCATGCATGCATGCATGCATGTATGTATGTATGTATGTATGTATGTATGTATGTACGTACGTACGTACGTACGTACGTATGTATGTATGTATGTATGTATATATTTATGTGTACACATATATACACACTGTTTTGTTCGGGCCGCCCTGGGTGTGCGCGGCACCAACGCTGTCGCTGACTGGGGGTCTTTTTTCGGCTAGGGTGTGCGCGGCTCCAGAACTCTGGTATTTGGCTTTGGATGATGGGGGTGGGGGACACGATTTGTTTCACCTGAAGGAGGCTTGCCCGCTGCAGCGATCGCTTCCTCGCCGATTGCTGTCTTCTGCCGCTTGTCGTCCCACGCGCCGATTGGGATTGATAGTCATTCTTTCAGTTGCCGACCAAACGACCGAGGAGGAGGGGGAGGAGGAGGAGGAGGAGGAGCAGGAGGAGGAGGAGGAGGAGGAGGAGGAGCAAGGTGGACATGAGGAGGAGGACGAGGAGGAGGAGGAGGAGGAGGAAGAAATGGACCCGTTCCCCCGCTTCCTCGAGACTGGCTCCGGCGGCCTGACCGCGAGCATCTCTGCGGCGGAAACCAAAATCGCCTCCCTGGAGGCCTGCCACCCGCCGCCGCGCCGCCTGTGGCTCCGCCCCCCGGGAACGATGGAGGGACAAACAGAAGGAAAAGGAAAAGGAGATGGAACAGGAAAAGGAGAAGGCGAAGGAAACGGCGAAGGAAAACTCGAAGGAAGAGGATGAGAAGGAGGAGGAGGAAGAAAACGAGGAGGATGAGGAGGAATATTAACAACACTAACATTCATAACAATAAACGTAATAATATTGAGAAGAAGACGAAGGCGAAGGCAACGAATCAGAAAACACAACGTACGAAAATAAGAAGACGAGGGATAAGCATACGAATAACTGTCATACGAGTCATCATACTAATCTTACTACTAATGATACTAGTGCTAATAATATCACGATCACGAAGAGCAAGACTATTCATTCTAGTAAGGGAAAATAATCATGACAAACCTACGAATAACATTTTGAGCAAGGGTAACAAAATAATAATACTAACCATACTAGTAATAAACGTAACGCGACGCATAAGACGAAACTTGCTATCAGTAGCAATGATACCACGAATAACAGTACTACTGCCACAAGTAGTAACACGAGACAGAGGAAGACCAATACTAAGACTACTATTCAGAACTATCAGAAGAAACATGCTACTAAGCAGACCACGATTAATCACCAGAAGACAACAGTACGAAGGCGACGAACAAATCTATTACGATTTATAATAGTACTAACGGGGGTAACACGACTGCCACTAACATACCTATTGCTATTACTAATGCGAATGCAAATACCAATGTTACTATACATCGCAACAGTACTACTAAACATACTGCTAATACTGATACTGCGCATCGTAACAATACACACGGCATTAGTAATACTAACACATAATATTATTACAAATATTAACATTACTGATATTGATACTGATACTACTATTGGTAATACCCAGGCTGCAAACACGAATAGTAGTCATCGTAGTAATACGGAGACGCCGAATAATACTACGATTGCTCAGACGCATAGGGGGGGGAGGGAGATGATGAGAAAGAGGAGGAGGAGGAGTAGTAGGAGGAGGGGGGCGAAGGCCAAGGAGGATGAGCATGACGAACAGGAGGAGGATGAGGAGGCGGAGGAGGAGGAGGAGGAAGAGGAGGAGGAGGATGACGAGGACGAGGACACTCACGACAAGGAGGAGGACGAAGAGGAGGAGGGGGAGGAGGAAGAGGAGGAATATGAGGAGGATGAGGAGAGGAGGGAGTCGGAGGAGGAGAGGAGGAGGAGGAGGAGGAAGAGGGGAGGCGGAAGAGAGGAGGAGGATGATGAGGAGGAAACGAAGGGGGGAGAGGAGGAGAGGAGGCGAGGCGGAGGAGGAGGATGAGGAGGATGAGAGGAGGGAGGAGGGGGAAGAGAAGAGGAGGGGGAGGAGGACGATGACGATGACGAGGACGGGAACGAGGACGAGGGCGAGTACGAAGAGGAGGAGGAGGGGAGGAGGACGAAGATGATGAAGATGCGGATGAGGAGGATGAGGACGATGATGAAGAGGAGGAGGAGGTGGAGGAGGAGGATGTGAGGAGTATGCGGGGAGGAGGGAGGAGGAGGAGAGGAAAGAGGAGGATGAGGAGGTGGAGGAGAGGAATAGGAGGATGAAGACCATGATGGGGAGGAGGATAATGAGGAAGAGGAGAGGATGTGGAGAAGAGGAGATGATGAGGAGGAACAGGGGCAGGAGGAGGAGAAGGAGGAGGAGGCGGAGGAGGCGGAGGGGGAGGAGGAGGAAGAGTGGGAGCAGGGTAAATACGAGGAAGCGGAGGAGGCGGATGAGAAGGAGGCGGAAGCGGAGGGGGACGAGGCGGAGGAGGAGGAGGAAGAGGCGGAGAAGGAGGAAGGGGAGGAGGAGGAGGAGGAGGAAGGATGATGATGAGAAGGAGGAGGAGGAGGACACTGAGGACGAGGAGGACGAGGAGGAGGAGGAGCAGGAGGAGGAGGAAGGGGAGGAGGCGGAAGGGGAGGAGGGGAACCAAGAGGAGTTGGAGGAGAATGAGGAGGAGGACGAGGAGGACGAGGAGGACAAGGAGGACGAGGAGGAGGAGGATCAGGAGGAGGAGGGGGAGCAGGAGGAGGAGGAGGAGGAGGAGGATGACTGAACCTATTATTATGATGCTGATTCTGCTGCTGCTGCTGCTGGTGATGATGATGATGAGGCGGAGGTGGGGAATCCATCATGCGATCAGTTTTTAACCACTGGTGTTAATCTATATTTTTTTATAGGAAATTACGGTGTTCATAGTAGCCAGGAACTAATATTAGGATAATGCATCGTATCAACCGTACTTCGAACATGAATAGTCACAAGACGAATCTGGTAATACTGCTACTGCTCACGCTGACCGTATTAAGCATACCATTCGTGTGAGCAGTTCTTAGTTATACTATTGTTCATAAACAAACAAGGAATGAATGGCACACCATTGCTAGTACTAACACTACGGGTACTACTGGTAAGTGCACGGTTACAACTAGGACTATACTAAGGATAACCAGGAGACTATATTATGGTGATATAGACAAACGTTAGGGCCGCTAATAACGCAACTACGCTGACTAATGCGACGACTCCCCATCATCATCATACTAATACTACTGCTACTACGAATGCGAGGACTACGGATAATGCTGAAACGAAGGGGACGACGCCCATTACCAATCAGACACCGAATGTTAACACCAGCCATGCCACGAGCACACATGATGATACTACTACTGCAGACAATACCAACACTATGGGGAAGGAGACGCATATAAGTAACATGAATAATTCAGCGACGACCAATACTGATGCTAATTGTGCTACTACTAAGAAGTATGCGGCGACGCAGACGACGCATCGCAGCACCACCACATTTTATGTTTAGGGATACGGCTGTTGTTAACGGTCTTTTAAAATTAAGAATGCCACTATTACTGCTAATTTGCTGAGCTGCTGGTGCACGGACTACGAATACGGACTATTCTAGCACGGCGCGTGCTACTATTAAGCATACGAATCTTGCAACCGAACATTAATAACCATAATGGGACGCATACTCCCATTAATGGGGTTGGCTAACATTCATGCTCATGGTCGTACTACTACTCTTAGAATAACTAGTAATAGTAGTATTACTGGTACGACTAATACTACCGCTAGATTTAATACAATGGCTGGTCCGACTACAGAGAGGGCTAACGCGACGAGTCTCACTGATAATGGTAAGAGGACTAGTAAGACACCTGTAATCTGATTAAACATGGGGTGAGGAGGGGTGGGGGAAGGAAGGGGAGGAGGAGGAGGAGGCGGACGATGAAAAGACAGAGGCGGAGTAGGTGGATGAGGAGGAAGAGGCCCAGGAGGGGGATGAGGAGACGAGAAGGAGGAGGACGAGGAGGAGGAAGAGGAACAAGAGGAGGAGGATGGGGAGGAGGGAGACCATGATGATGCTGATGGTGATGATGATGATGAGGAGGAGGAGGAGGAATACTAAGAAGAATACGCAGGCGAATCAGAGGAAGAGGACAAGGAAAAGGACGAGGAGGAGGCGGAGGAGGAGGAGGACGGGGATGCGGAGCATGGGAATGGGGGAGGAGGAAGAGGAGGAGGAGGAAGAGGAGGCGGAGGAACAGGATGACG